CGTGCCTAGGGAGAGGTTGTAACCGAGCACTTGAGGAGGAGGACACGGGCTAGGACCACATAGCCACCTGCCACGAATCAGCCTCCGAACTCTGCTCGGCCTCTCTGAATGTAGTAGGCACTAACTTATCGATACTCTCCACCAGAAGTGCATACGTAACTGTATCGGCATACCATGCTGGCATCCGTATGTCTCTCCTCTGTCTCCAAACCGTAATAGAATCCTGAACCTGAGCTGTCGGTCCCTGATCTTGCACATCAGTACCCGTATCCTTTGTGTTGCCGTGCTCACCTGGTGTCACCTCAGTCGGTACTCTAATAGATATTATACTATCTGGATAATGTAAAGCTGTATCGATCTCCACCACCTATGATATCTCCTCTGTTGGGTCACTTTCTAGCTGATGAGAGCTGGGAAGCTTCAAGATAGAAACCTCATCGAGTGTGGCATCTCTACTCAGCACAATCTTCCTATCAACAGGATCTCATAGATTGTATCCCTTGATACCACACTTGAATCCTACAAATATGGTCTTCCTAGCTCAAGGTTCCAACTTATCAGTCTTAACATGATAATATGCAGGGCACCCAAATACCTTGAGCTTGTCATAGTCGTGTGCTGACTCTCCCCACCACATCTTTATCGGGGTCTTCCCTTTAATCACAGATGAAGGCAACCTGTTAATGAGGTGGTTCTCATATGAAAGTGCCTCAGCCTAAAAGATCTTTTCCAAACTATTATGCGCCAACAAACATCATATTTTCTCCAGTAAAGACTGATTTAACCTCTCTATTACCCCCATTCTGTTGCAGTATATGACTAACTGTGAAGTATCTCTCTATGCCCTCACCTCGACATAGCTGTTGAAAGGGGGTCTGATGTGTACTCACTAGTGTTGTCAGATCATAACGTCTTGATCTTTCTCCAAGTCTTTAGTTCCAACCTCTTCTTCTACTCCATAAATATATCTAGGACTTCACTTTTCTTTATCATGGTATACACCCAACAACATCTAGAATAGTCATCGGCAAACATAATGAACAAATATCGACTACCAAGTAATGCAGTCTTAGTGGGACCCCAAACATCTGTGTGCACGTAATCCAGGATGCCCCTTATCCTATGAATGGAAATCCCAAACTTCACCTTCGTCTTCTTGCCAAGTACACAGTGCTCACAGAACTCAACCTTTCCACTCTTTGCTCCCTTCAATAGTCCTTGCTTTCACAACGCCTACAATGACTTCTCTTCTGTGTGCCCCAACATGTAGTGCCAAAGTCTGCTCATGTCCGTCTCTGAAATAGTTGAAGCTACCTGGCCAATCTTGGTGCTCCCCTTCAGATAATATAAGTTTTGACTGCGGACTCCCTTCATCACCACCAAAGATCACTTAGTAACTTTTGTTACAGCATCCTCAAAGGCCACCTTGAATCCCTTTACCTTCAAAGCTACAACTGAGATAAGATTCTTCTTCAGCTGAGAAACAAATCTCACCTCCTTCAATTCACGGACTATTCCATCATACATCTGAATCCTCATGGTACCTATTCCACAAATACTACAGGATTGATCATTTCCCATGACAACAACACCCCCATCGAGTCTCTTAAATGATACAAACCAATCTCACCTAGGAGTAACATGATAAGTAGCACCAGAATCAAACATCCAATCTGATGCATCCAAGTGGTTCACCTTCAGAGTAATCAGTAGAGAAAAGTTCGAATCATCTGAATTATCACCTCTCGCAATGTTCACCTCATTGGCCTTCTAGCCCTTTTTCTTACCATTCTCCTTCTCCTTTAGCTTTGGACAGTATCTCTTCTAATGTCTCTACTCATTGCAGAATGCACATTGGTTCTTTACTAACAGGTGATGGCAGCTCGACTTTGACCTGCCTCTATTGCTAACCCTCGGATATGGGCTTCTACCTCTCATCGATAAGGCATCACCTGAAGTACTAGTACGGAAAGTCTCATTGTCCTTCCTCCTCAAATCATAATTCGTCAAAGCGTTAGTTACTTTACTATAGCTGATAGAAGATCTTCCATTCAACAAAGTAAGCACAAAGTTATCATACTCCTCAACAGGTAAGGAGCCCAACAAAATAATCACCTTATACTCATCTGATATCTTCTCATCAATATTCACCATGTTATACTACAACTTAGTGTAGTTGTTCACGTGAACTGCTAGTAAGGTGCCTCTAGACATCTGAAATCTGAATAACCTACATAGCAAGTACAATCTGTTCTCAACACTCTTCGTAAGGTACTTGTTATTGAAATTTTTTTACATCTTTATTGCAGACGTCACCCCAATCACATCATATTTCAGCTCCTATTTTAAATAGGACCTGATCACCCTACAAACATTCCTATTCATCTTTTTCCATACCGCCTCTTCATATTTTGGTGGCCTCTCATAGACCATGATGGTCTCCTCCAAATTCTGAGAATTGAGCGCATCCTGTATGTCGCTCATCCACAAATCAAAATTGATTTTGTTGCCATATTTAACCACACTAATTTTATTATTCTGAAAACTAACTTGAACTGTACCCGTTATCTTGCAGCTTTCACCAACTTCTTCACCCATTCACAAACTCTAAATTGTAGAGGAAAATTCAAACTTGATAGAATTTAGAAGTTATCCAACTAAACCCTAGAACGGATTCCAAAATAGATCTCCTAACCACACGAGCTAAGCAAAATCTTCAATGGCAACCTCAAACACTATCTCCACTAAAGCTTAGAACTCTAAGAACAAAGCTTCCATGGTGAATCTTCCTACACCTAATGCCAAAATCCTAGATCTGACATCTGAGCTTTGATACCAATTGTTACGCGCCTTTGCGGAAGCATGCTCAATAACCAAACGAGTCAACGAGTCATGGGAGAAGATTACCAAACCAACCACGAGCAAAATCCAATCCAAAATATGATAAATCAAACCAAACACAAAGATATACGTGGTTCGACAATTTGACTACGTCCATGGAGAGAGGATGGGGAGATTCTACTAAATCAAGGAGAGTACAAAGGGTTACAATCTCACAAAATCACTCAAATAAACTCTAAACCAAATCTCTCAACTTGATCATAAGTTCTTCCTCTCAATATGCTCAGTACAATCTCAAATCTCTTATTATTAACCCTAGAAAATCGTGTCCCTATTTATACCAAAATAGAAACCAAATCAGAACAGGAAATAAAGCCTAGGCCCAAACCCGACTGGCGGTCGACCGTGCCAAACCTCACAGTCAACCCGACCTAACCTCGCGGTCGATCGACCAGAACTCCAGAAACTATCCTGTACTCGTGCACGTTTGCAGTCGACTGCACCAAAGCTCGCGGTCGATGGGCAAGCACCCAAATGCCTTTCTGCTTCAAATTTCCTAAAATTTACCAATATTTTCGCTATTTCTACACCAAGAACAAACAACGGTTACCAATATTCTATCTTAACAAAGATAATTAGTGCATCAAAATCATAATCATCACATTTATCTCTAAATTGTTCGGTTTATTAAAAAAATATCTTGTGGATTAAGTGGATACGTGAGCAATTAAGAATGCACAGTATTTGGTTTGTGCAAGCTGTATGTGGGGAATCTTGGGTTAGGAAACGTGGAGGGATATGGCTATTCAAGTATGGGTTCTATTAATGGTGGTAGAACTAAGGGGGTGTTTGCACTAGTACAAAACAGGACAGTCCAAACGGTTATTACAACCGTTTGGACAAGTAGAAATAGCCCAAACGGGTATAACCGTTTGGGATAATAAACCCAAACGGATAAATCCGTTTGGATTGTTAAAAAATCCCAAACGGCTGAACCAAACGGTTTTAACTGTTTGGGATATCTCAACCCAAACGGTTAAAACCGTTTGGGAGTTTTTTTTTAAAAAAAAATAAAAGCCTTTTTTTTCCTTTCGTTTCCCCCCATAATTTTCATTCCAGCGCCAGATTTGAGTCATCCCAAAATTTTTGTCCCAGCGCCAAATAAAAGTCATCCCCAAAATTTTCGTCCCAGCTCCAAATTAGAGTCATCCCCAAAATCCCTAACCCCCACCGCACTCTCAAATCCCTAACCCCCTCGACTTCGCCTCATCCGACCCGGTCGAAGTCCGACTGCTGCCGCTGGCCAACGCACCTCATCTTCGCCTCATCTTCGTTCGCCAGGGCCCCCCTCATCTTCGCCGTGGGCCATCGTACCCCCTCCGCCTCCCTCATCTTCGCTGACGCTCCTCCTCCTCCATCGTTTCCATCAGTTATATTCAGAAACTGAATACGAGGTATACACAAAACCCCTCAAAGTTCCCCTTTTACAGCCTCAGTCCTTTACCCAGCTCTTACAAGAATTCCCTGGCCAATTCTAGCGTAAGATCCATGCCCCTCAGAATCTTTAAGCACCCATTCCCCCTCCTTCTCCTGCCAAGCACATTAAGGCCTTTATTGCGCGCCGCCACGGCTCGGTGAAGAACAATGAGGCTTCCATCCCCCAGGGGAGCGAGGTTGAGTTGGGCTTTGATAAGACTTTTGGCTTCTCGAAGCAGTTTTTCTCAAAGTACGAGCTTGGTGAAGAGGTTGGGAGAGGACATTTTGGGTATACTTGCACAGCCAAGTCTAAGAAGGGAGAGATGAAGGGGGAGGAGGTGGCAATCAAGGTCATTCTCAAAGCAAAGGTTTGTCCCTCTCCGGAATAAGATCTGGTGTGGATTCAGATCTCATAATATTGTGTCAATAGCACCAATATAATCAGATCCGATATGCTGCTTTATTACTGTTTTCTTTTACATTGTCATCCATTTGTTGTAGATTATAGTTCCTTATTTTCATTATGTAGCTGTTAAGGAAAAATATCTCAATTGATAGCTCTTACATCACAATCTTCCTCATAACCTTGAGTTGCTGAGTATTGCAATTTATTTTTTCTTCCTATTTTTTGTTCCTACATAGAAAGTTGCGGTAGACAGATCCAACAAACTTAAGATGGGGATGCATCTGATGAGTCGATGGACATCACAGCTATAGCAAGAATGAGAAAGTTCAGAGCAATGAACAAGCTTAAGAAAGTAGCCTTGAAGTTGAAGGTGACTGATACTCATCCATTGTTTTTACCAAAAGTTTACCATTCAGAATTTATTTATTAACAATGGAGTATTGTACCCGGGCGATATGGACGGCCGACTGTGGTACTGTCAACATATCCTAATGTTTTTGTATTTGCATGGCTTAACATTTTTCACACATTAGGAATTTAGAAAAACTGTAGTAGTTGTTCTCAGGCATCTATTCAACCTGGTGGAACAGTTACATTTGAGCATCGAAACATCAAAGGGCAAAACAGGTCCATTGTGGGTTCTGTGACATCTAGCAATCTCCTCAATCCTCAGGTAACACACATCATTATGCACTAGAACATCCTAGATTTGCAATATTTATATGTATGTATAAATGTTCTGTATACTCGAATTACATACAAGAGAATCCTAAATCTTGCAGTATATGTTTATTTGGGAAATATGGTTTGATTTGAGCTGAACATCCACTATCTAAGAGGTTTTGTCAAAATGCACTAGGCAACATGTTTCCTTTATAAATTAATGAGCCAATTGTATGTTAACCTTATACATATTGGAGAATGGGTGGTTCGCGGGGCGTGCATGTTAAACACTTTTCTTCTTTTTCACACTAGCAATTTGTTGTAGAGTTTACAGATTAGAAGCATCTGGGATATCATACTGCATATGTGGACATTCTGCTTACTTTACATAAGTTTAAGGATTTTAAATTACAGCTATAGTCTGGTGAAGTTTACAAGTTTGATTTGGGATTAATCTTTGGATGATAATTAAAGGATAAGGGAATCAGTTGCGTAGGGATTTAACAAGAAAGCTAGAGAATTTCAGTTAACAAGCGCTTTTTCATTTTTACTAGTGTTGTAATTGTGCATTTGTTCTTGCTAACAGTTTGTTTGCCCTCTTATTTGCTTGTTTAGGATGATCTATCTTTCAAGCTTGAGTATGTGCATCCTTACTTGGATGGCGTGTATAATCCTCGCAACAGAACATTTCGCACTAGCTGCTTTAACAGCCGCAAGATGAGTCCTGTCTTCACTGGTGGGCCTGGGGTTGATGAAGTTCCACCTGTATGGATTGACAGAGTAGGGCTCAAAGCCAATATAACAGAGGTAGATGTTAAAGTTTTTTTCAGAATGACAGAATCCTATGCTACTGCTCTAAGGTTCCAATAGTATAAATATGTTATCCTGATGATATGTATATGCATTTCACAGAGCTTCACTCGTCAGAGCAAATTCACTTATGGACTCGTAATGGAAGAGATCACGACACGTGATGAGACCAGTACCGTGTGCACTAATGGTGCTCGGCAATTGCCTACTGGTGCTTTGAGCATGGATGGACCTCCAACAACCTTGAGTGGTACTGGTGTTGATCGTATGGCATTTGCACAAGCAAACATTACTCGTGACAACACAAAGTTTGTCAATAGTGCAATTGTTGGTGAAAGGAATGTGTTTCAGGTATCATGTCCTCTTACTGATCGTTGCTTCCAGTTTTATAGAACTGTTAACTGCAATTCTTCATATGCATCACTGTTGTCAGAGGTTCCAATGCCTATTTATCAATTGATTTTCCTACTTCAAGACAATTGACAATCGGAATTGCATGACATAAACTATTTTTCACCTATTTACTTAATGGAATTAGCTGGCCAATATAAGCCATTGGATAGTTGCAAATGATTAAAAAAAAGCCAACTTCAATGTGATATTGTGTAATAAGCATGTTACTAGTGTTTTTTTTCCCCACAGGCGTTATTTAGGAACATCTACCCTTAGGAATGCCTGTAAGAATGGATATCTTAGCATATCATTTTAATAATATTTATGCATCTTATGTGATTCTTATTTATTTTTTTGTTTTGCTTCTCTCCAATAATCACATATATCATATATCTTGATTGTCTATATTTTCTAAATTGCAGCTAGATCAAGGCCTGGGAATTGGTACCAATTTCCCATTCTTCAACCATCGTCAGCTCACACTAACCAGATTCACTCTTGGAGGACCTAATTCTGTGCGGGGATACAATATGGGTGAGTTGAGTGCGTGTAGGAATATTCTTGAGATATTGTGTATGTATATGTTTTCGATTTCATTGTGAGATGTTGAGAAATCATTGTGTGAGATGTGTATATTAAATGTAAGCAGAATAATATTGGATATAAACACCGTTTGAGACATTTTTTTGTATGTATATGTTTTTGATTTCATTGTGAGATATTGAGAAATCATTGTGTGAGATGCGTATATTAAATGTAAACAGGTAGATAAATAAAACAATCAACATTAAAAAAAATGCTAAAAATCAACAGGCCAAACAGTTGAAACTGTTTGGGCAAATTTTTGTCCAAACGGTTTCCACCGTTTGGGCAGTTTTTACATCCCAAACGGTTGAAACCGTTTGGGATTTTGTCCCAAACGGTTGTAACTGTTTGGGAATTTGCCCAAACGGTTATAACCGTTTGGGACTTTGCCCAAACGGTTACAACCGTTTGGACGTCCGTTGGGGAATACTCATCCCCAACGGCTTTAGCCCAAACGGGTTTTTTCTTTCGCCCAAACGGTTGTAACCGTTTGGGAGGGGGTTTTCCCAAACGGTTCCAACCGTTTGGGCTGTCCTGTTTTGTACTAGTGTTGGTTCACCCATTTTGTAGAAAAGTTTTGATAAAATACGAGACAAAGGGGTATTTTATAGATTTCTGTAAATTATGTTTGGTTCAAAAAAATTATAGAAATATTTTCTATAAAGTAGGAAAAAGTGGGGTATTTTATAGAAATCAACTTCGTCTTCAAATAAAGGTCTGTTTGGTACATTTCCCAAAAAAACAGAAAACTAGTTTGAAAACCATTTCTGGACATTTCAAAGGGTTCCCTTATTTGACTTATTTGGTTTGTTTCACATTTTAATCATAGGCTTAAAAACTATGACTTTCATTTCTTGGGTTTGTTTCAACATCCAAAAAATAAGAAATACCATGAGTTTGCCAATTAAATATTCAGCGACGGGACATTAAATAATACCCCTTACTTCCAGCCGTTGTTTCATTAGTGTTTTGAGCAATATTAAATTCATTGACGTGACATTTCTCACCTATTTCAGACCCAAAAGATCTAAAATAGGTTTTCTCCAAATTTTGACGTGACACCCCATTTCAGCCTCCTGTTTCTTTAAATCACTCAGCGAAGCAAACGCTGGAATTGAAAATGTCTTGAAACCAAAATCCTATGTGGCAAGGGGTCAGATTTCAAATCGCTCATTTCTCTCTTTATTTGCTAAACAAATAGCCCCTAAGAGGAAATTGTCAAGAAATCTGACACTTATATTAAAAAATAATTGAGTACACCAAAAGAATTCCCCATGTGATTTCTCATCGGCATTGTTAGTAATCTGTTTTCTATAAAGTAATATCTAACCAAATAAAAGAAAAAGAAAACAACTTATTTTCTATAAAGTTAGGAATTTTTTATGCTTTGAACCAAACAAATAAATAGCAAAAAACAACAAATATAGTACCCTTTGAGTTTTATAAATTTTTCCTACAGATTTTATAGAGATACAAGGAAATTATATTTTGAGAAAATTTCTTTTCCTTTTTATAGAAATTGAACAAATCAGCCCCTAAATTGCAAAGTTGCCATGTTGCTGGAAGTATTAAAACTTCTTTTATATACAGTGAGCTGCAATCCCTTATCGAAGATGCAATTGGTATAAAGCAGGATGGAGTAAACTCAATATACTGAAGCATTTTTTTATTCTCTGGCTTGGTGATTAGCATATTTTATTACATTTTATATATCTATATTTCAAATAAAGTTTCATGCAAATAAATCATTAATATTGTATTTTTATCTTGTAATGTAGGGAATCAAGAAAATTGAGGAAAAATGAAGAAAATAAAGAAGAGCTCAAATGAGTATATCTCAAGCCCAATGATTCAATCCAAACAAACTCCAACGCCTACGACCACACCTAAAAGTAAATCTCATCACTTAATCACTTTCTTGCTTAGCAATTATCAATTAACTTGGCCAGTAATTAAGCATCAAATCAAATCTAGAAAGAAGTCAAGTCAGATTCATATCTAGGATGGTCAACCACAAAGAAAAAGCATTATCTCCTAATCCAAAAAGCATAGTCTACATATTATATATAAAAATTGTTTATCTCGACGAGATGGAGCCATCCAGATTGAGTAGATTCTAGAAAATCCATCAATAACAAAAGATTTTAGCAGAATCTAAATTTAAACATCATATATTCATTTACTTAAAGGCCGAGCCAAATCCTTTGAAGCCCAAGAGTATAGCATTAAAGAGAAGACCAAGAGTTAAAAAAATTTAAATACAAGAAAAATGAAGCCTACAAAACTCATCTCTTTAATGCTATACTCTTGTAAAATAAAAAGTTTTATAAATTGAACAAATCGGTAAAGTAATTTGTTGATTCTTATGACAGTGAGGAGAAACTCTTCACCGATATGACTGAAACATCTGAGGAGGAGGGTGAAGCTGAAGGTGCAGGAACCGATATGGCTGAAATTTCTCTTTTAATTTTTTTTCTCATGAAGACTTGAAGAAATTTGGATCTACACAAGAGGCTAACCCCTTGCAATGTGAGTTTTTAGTTTTTAAAATTTCTTAGTTAATTAGAATTACATATTTAGGAAAAAGGTTAACATGCTTTGTTTTTACTTGTTTAACTTGCATGCTTATTTTGTTTTTCTTTTTTAATTTAAGAGTAGATTTAATTTCATGTGTAGATATTAGTTTATTTGCTTTCTTTTGTAATTACTTTCATTTCTTGCCATTTTATTCATGCTTTCATTATTTGTAATAATTTAGGATTTAATAAAATGGTCTGTCTAAAATTCTTAGAATAATTAGGATAAGAGGAAACAAGTATAAATTATTTATTAGAATTATAATTTCTTTCTTTTATGCCTTAATTATTTATATATTGATTAATCAATCAAAACAATAGTTGATCAAATATTCTAATTTAATAGGTTATACTTTTCTTAAATGGTTTGATAACCTATGCTTATTAGTTTTCTAGGATTATTATTTTTATTTTATTTTCTATGCACGAATATTAATTGTAATTTTAGAATCTATCTTGATAATTGATGCTTTCTTTAATCAGATTGATAGGTTATGCTTGTGAATTCTAAAAATAAATGAAAAAGATAGTAATTTCTAGATATAATAAATAGTTATCTAGTGAAATCTATCCTAATTTCCTAGAAAAAGAGTAATTTCTAGATCTAGTTTAATTTCTAGATCTAATAAATAGTTATATAGTGGAATCTATCCTAATTTCCTAGTTTATTAGTTTTCAATCTTTTCTTTCATTTTTTATTTCTTTTATTTTTTTCATTTTATTTCTATTATTTATCTCTCCAATTTTCTTTCCCCTTTTTCTCTTATTTACCTTTTAATATCTTTTGTTTTATTTTTCTTGTGTCTCTTTTTGTATATCTATTCTCTCCTCTATCCCCCTTTCTAGTTTTCATTTTCTATTCCTTTTAAAACAACAAATATCCATAAACCTACTTTCAAACCCTTTTCATAAAAACGTCTTTTCAAATAAGTCAAGAGAAGGAAAATCCCCAACTAAAAATCAAAGAAACTGTTCCTTATAGTTAGACATTTTCTATATTATAATTAATTTGGCGTACACTTGCAACACACAACTTCACACACAACACTTGGTGTGCACAGGAAGTTGCTAACACTCGATAAACTCCAGAAAATGGGGATTGTACAACTTAATTGATGCTATTTGTGTGAGCAGGAGAGGGAAACACAATAGCATTTGTTTTTTTCCTTTCACTTTTGATACTGAAGTGTGGATTAGTATTAATCATTGGCTTGGATTTAGTTCAGACCGGAGCTGTGAATGACACGTTATCTTCAATTGGTATGTTACTCAACTTGTAGGTGGTTCTTTTGTGAAGAATGTTAAAAGGCTTGCCTTGGCTGCTATAGCCTATAGTGTATATATGCACTATGGTCATTGTGGGATGAGATGGCTGGATGAAGTGGTACGTGGAATCTATTATGCTTTCGTGGCTATGTTTCATAGCTCTCCTGCTTATAGAGAGGATGATTGCTACATTGTATTAGTATGTTTTTAAGTGGTTTTAGATGTTTGTATCTGTCAAGTCAAAGTCATGTAGTACTCGGGTATATATGCCTGAGATCAATTTATAATGCTTTCAGGGCTCATCTTGATGGGAAAGCTTATTTTAGGAACCTCCCCAGAAAAAAAAAGAAAAAACCCTTCGGTTTATAGTGTTACACACTGATCTAAAAATAAACAGTTTGTAATGCGCAAGGATTAATGTAAATGAACCATCAGATAGCTTATGAACGAACTCAATAAAGTAACAGAGAATAGACTAGGCGGCCGATCTGGAAGGGTGAACACTACTATATATATTAAAAACCCTATCCTTATCTTGACCAAGCCACTGAGACTCATTCGTTGCTCTCTTTGGGCCATATCATGGGCATATAAAGCTGTGGATACTTTCCTTTTCCGTCACAATGCCTTTCTATTTATTCCATTTTCGGCTTGTTGTAGTCATAGAAGTGTGGGGCATTAAAGGAGTTTATAGGTATCATTTCATTCCCACTATTACTAGATTGCGGAATAAGGAGGCGTGTACACTTTTGATTGCATTTGGCTTTCCTTTTCTTTTTTCTTTTTTCTTTTTTCTTTTTTAATTCCGTTATGCCATTTGAATCCATTTCTCGGTTTGGTTAGGGTACCAAGTTCGTTGTCACAAGAGACATGATGTAGCTTGTGGAGAAGTTGATACAGGTGTGGATGTGACAGGCTATGAAAACTCAGACCATACCAGAGACTTTAGATGGGAGAGAGCCTTAATTTTAGCAAAATTAATCAGCAGTTAGAAGGCGTATCTCGAGTCTTCCGTCGGCATGCCTCATATGTCGACTCAAGGTGACCGTAGGGAGAATAGTGAAATTACTCAAGAGGGGTGAATAGGGTAATCAAACAATAAATGTGCAATTAATAAAATTCAATGCAATACAAAATATAAATTTGTAATATGGCAATAAATAAGAGAGAGAGTTAGAGAATAGTTAGCC